CTCTCGTATAATTTCATTATAATGTGATTGATTATATTATATATATGAAATCCTTCTAACATTATTAGTTGCTCAATTTGAAAAATAATATAGTTCAAGGCAGAATCTAGTCAAGAACAGTGCAGTGAACTACAAAAAGCTTCCCTCATGAGAGTTTCTTAACCAAGGATGTGCACTAAAATTCCCTGGAGTTTTTTTAAACTTCTTAATTCACCCAGAATCAGAGTATCCCAGAGTGAGTGCCAGATGTGTACATTTTCAAAATGCATTCTTCTCCTTCCCCCTCTCTCAGTTAAGATCTACTGTCCCATAATTCTACAGAGCAAGAGACACGAAGGCAGGTACTGTGTTTGTTTTTGCTCACACTGCATTAGCAGTACCTAGTACACAAAACTGCTAAAAAATATGATTCGTTAGTTAAATATTTACTCATAAAACATAGTTATCTAATAGCCTACATCACATTCACAAGGATTCCATTATCTAACCTTGTTAAATCCCTCCAGGAATCTTAATACATTTCTTTTAACTTCCAGTGTATCTTCCAATCTTCTCAAAAACTGCAATAAAATTAATTTGGCATCTCTTGTTCTTAGTGAACACAATATATCTTTAATGATCACAACTGCCTTTTCATGAACCATCTCCTTAATGAATTATTCCAAAATTTTGTAAGGTATTGATTTAAAATTCACCAGTCTACAACATCTTTTAACATCTCTTTGTCTATTTAAAAATCAAAATATTTGCCCATCTTCAGTCTTCTGGCCCCTTTCCTTGTCCTTTGGATTCCTCAAAACTATAATCATATCAGCATAATCTCCAGGCTTAAACTCAAGGCACTTTGATGGGAAAATCTGGAAATATATAACAGATGCTAGAATATGATGATTCTATTAATGGAAGTTGAGTTATGCTAACTTGTTTTACTTTGACCTTAGCAATGCATAGTATATTAGTTTGCATCCTGTTTGCTATTCAAAGCAGATGAAAATATAATTCTAGAGGAAAGACATAATTCAATTTGATTCATCTTAAAGGACCATAAGACGAATAATGGCTAATAATATGATTATTCTTACTTAGTGCTTTTCATAAGCCAGACAGATTCTAAATGTGTATTCACTCACAAAGGGAGAAGACCATGCTTAATGAAAAAGATAGAACATAAATCATATTTAAGAACAACTAGCCTAATAATAATTTTTAAAATAGACAGAAATATTGGCAAGGATGTGAAGAAACTGGAAACCTCATATATTGCCGTATGGATAGTACGACAAACAGTTTGGCAGTTTCTCAGAAAGTTAAGCAGAGTTACCATATGAGCAAGCAATTCTACTTTTAGAATGGTTACGCAAAAATATGTACACAAAATGTTCATAGCAGCATTATGCAAAATGGCCCTAAAGTGGAAACAGCCCAAATAACCATCAACTGCTGAATAAACAAAATGTGGTATATATATACAATGAACTGTTCTTCAGTTATAAAAAGGAATGAAATACTGATATATGCTACAACATGCATGAATCTTGAAAACATTATGCTAAATGAAAGAAATCAGACACAAAGGGCCACATATTATATGATTCCATTTATATGAAATGTCCAGAATAGGCAAATCCATGGAGATAGATTAGTGTCTCTATTAGAGTAGATCAGCAGTTGCTAGTGGATAAGGAGAAAGGGAAATGGTAAGTAGAGGGTTTCTTTTCGGGGTGATTAAAATGTTCTGAAATTAGAGAGTGGTGAAGGCGTACAACCTTGTGACTATACTAAAAATTACTGAATTGAACACTTTAGGGTGAATTGTATAGTAAGAGAGCTATATTAATAAAAAGTTAATTATCCTTTAAAGAAAAGAGTAAAAGGAAAAAAGTCTTTATTGATAGGAAAAAAATGAGAGTAAACAGGAGTTAAAGAATTGCTAATGTGACTTGATTGATGACAGGTGCAGAATACAGAGAATAGATGGTAATCAAAGGGCCATTGACAAACATGAAGAGTGTCCCGAACAACCAACATAGTGAGGAATTAGAGAACTTTATCGCATGATAAATGGTGCTTCCTGAGAAAGGCCCTAAAAAGAGCAGGCTTAGGACAGACTTCTTAGCATCTTTAAATATTTGATAAAAAATCACTCTATTAAAGGGAGACTTAATGTATAGCAAAAGTAGAACCAGGAAATAATTGAGAACAAAAGTAGCATCAGGGAGTTAAGTCTTAGGACTTATTTCAACCAGCGAAGTTAATCAGAGTGACTGAGTCATTTTTACCACAGTTAGGCCTTCTGTAGGAATCCTTATAGCTAGCTTATCTTCATTATTAAGATACTGGATATACACGTGCATATGTGAAAGTGTGTATCTCCAAGGCTCAACATTTGAGCAAGCCGCTTGAAATTATAGAAATTGTAATTTACTGATATCAGTATAGTGAGAAAATTATTTAAATCTCGTGTTTTATTTCAACACTTATGTGAGCAGCTTTTCTCCTCAAACATCAGCCAACTTCACTGTGGAAAAGTGTACTCACTGCTCATTTCTTCACTGTATTAATTAAGACAGGTTGAAATTTTTAAACAAACAGACTCAACGTTCCTTCTTCTATACCAGTCCATGTTGGTTCCAGTCCATGGAGCTCCTCTCCTCCACAAAATCATTTGGCCCTATCCTCCTCTGGGTGTATCTCAAAGTACATGGGCAAAGGACATGAAAGAGAACATGTGAGAAAGTTTATCACTCCAGCTGGAAAGCAATATTTTGTGTTTGTTTCAGAAAAACCTGATTGGTTTATAAGGGAAGTCATGCCACTATCAAATCAAGTTTCACAACACAACACCCCGGCCAGGTTCCAGGGCTAGTAGATCACCAATACGGGGAAAGTCAAGTTTAGGTAGCCATCTCTATTCTTACTGTGAGTACATATTTGCCTGTTGTACCACACAAATTTCTATATTTCCATTCTTTTAAATTTTTTAGCTTTAATGAACCACTTCTGATCAACCGATCTATTTTCACAAATTGTATTACAATGACAGCAATGAAAGTGACATATTTAACATGCAAAAGCAATAACGTGCAAATGATGTAGAAGTGCCTTAGCAAAGAGGAATGGCATCCTGCTAAGTAGTACTTATTGAGACAAATTGAATGAAAAGACAATTTAAGACTATAACAATTCATCACCATCATCAAGCAACTGGCAACAGTCAATTGGTCTGCAAGCAGCAAGCAGCATGGTGGTATTTGCTAAAGTGGCTTGCCACACTTAGATTTGGCCCATAGGATCCCCAAAATAGATTTAGACAATGTATCATTTACACAGACAGCAAAAGAAAGATCAGCATGATATCAGCTCCCTGTGATGACACCAAACAGGAGGGGCTAAATGGCAGATGACAGAAACCACGTGTTGCTCTGTTGTTGAGAAGCAGGGCAGAGTTAGCACTTGCAAAAATCTAAGAGTGAATGCCCTCTTGAATTTTAAATTTTACAGAAGTTTGCAGCTATACCTAAGGGGTGAGGGTGAGGAATGAGGGAGTACAAAGCAACTGAAACTAGGGAGATAGATGAGAAATGACCTGTGTCTGATTCCTCCTAGATAAAGATGAGACTGCCTAAAAACGGCTCCACGCCATCCTGATCTCCCCTTGCTCCAGGAGGAGTTTCTGGCAATTCAGAGCTGTTAAACCTTGCTTGCCTACATGGCCTTAGTGGAGGCTTTCAAAGTTGCTAGGATGCCAAGGTGGAGTTGTTCCCCTAGAAACCAATATCTGAAATAAGAAGACAAAGCTGAATTTACTGCTTCTTGTAGTAACATAAAGCTGTGTTGGTCATGTGCAGTCTCTTGAAGCAGAGCAAACTGTTGAACTTACATCAAGGTTTTGGGCAAGGTGGAGTTCAGGGACTGGCAAAATTTTCAGAGGCATTAAAGAAGCTGGTTGTTGTTGATTGTTGGCACTCAGAGGCACTGGCCTGTTTGTGATCAGCTGGCTATTAGAGGTGAGGGCTGTCATTGACAGAATGCATCCCTTCTCACTGCTGCTTGTTTCCAGGGCTTCAAGGAAATTGGTACTGACCCAGGAGCTGGAATCTGTTATTTCCAAGAGGTAAGAGAATATCTATGACAATAGTCCTTAATCATCGTTAAAATTTATGAAACACCAGTGAACAAACTCATTCCATTGTTTTTTTGTCCTCTGAAACTTCCAGACTGCCTTCTGATCACTGGGCGGATCAGCAGAGGTGGATCACATCCAGAGAAACCTGGGGCCAGCGTGAACTTTTAGAGGAAAGGGTTTGGACCTTGCTTATCTTTAGTCTCCTACCTGGGCCTGGCAGATAATAGGTGCACAATTCATGGAAGAATGAACTATTAGCAATCACAATCCTAAGGAATGGCAGAAGAAGAAAAAAGAGGACCGGGCGGACGAGAGACTCGTAGATTTCCCTAGGTTGCGTTGTGACTGTTGTGTAAATACTTGGTTCATGTTAGTAGCATACCCACTTAGGCGAAATGCATGATGCATGCATTTTATGTTCCACGTTTGTGTCATATCGCTTAATTGTCAGGATATCAGACATCTGTCCCTGTTGTGGATCATGAAGATGAAAACTGTGATGAGAACAGCTCCACAATTTAGTGAACTCAGAATCTGAACAGAGAAGCACGTCTCTCTGGCCCAGAGAGTTGCAAACTTCGACTTCCTAGCAATTCCACCCATTTACCATCGTTCTCCTTGACGCACTTTGTGATGGGAGCAGGAGGGGAGCCAATAAAGTGACGAGGAGCGTTTGCAGAGGGCGGGGCTGGGGTCGGGGGAAAGGAGGAGGGCTGCAACGTAGGATCGGCGTCGGTGCCTGGGGGTGGCCGCGCGTGGCCGGGCGGCGGGAGGCGGCGCTGGGCACGCATTGACCGAGGGGGCGTCCCACGTGATGGGGCAGGCCCAACTTGCCGGGGAAAGTGGAGCACTCAGGGGCGCGAGGCAGAGGCTGGGGCTGAGGCGACCGCGGTGACTGAGGAAACATGGCAGAGTACCTGCAGCTGAGGGACGACTTGGCACTGATTCGCCTCCGAAACCCGCCGGTCAATGCAATCAGGTAACGGACTTGGTCGCCTTCAGCCTGGAGACAGAGGGGCCTTTCGCGCCTGCTTGCTCTCCAGGCTTTGGTTCTCCCCCGCTGGTTTAAACGGAGAGACACTGCCTCAGATTGAACTATAGGCATGCCAGGGCCTTTTAAGTAGGTCAACTTGGTTAATTTTCGCAGAGAACTCTCATGCCCATTTCACTGGGAAGGAAACCCATTGTAGCCGCCAGCCTCCCGGATAGACACACAGGCCACCAGAAATCAGTAAGTTATAGGGAACACACTCTTTATTCAGCCAGCTGGGTTTACCAGGGGTACACAGACCCCAAATTAAGCAGCCCCGAAATGCAGAGGTACAGGGTTTTTAAGCCCTAAACCCCATTCTTCATCCTGTTTGAACACACAAGTCTATTTTTCTTCTTTTTACTGTCAACCCACAGGTCGATTGTGCAAGCAGGGGTTACACAAGAAGCAGAAAGCTTATTGGATGTTATGTTTCCATAGGTAACATTGATAGTCTATGTTCCTATGTTCCTATGTTATGTTTCCATAGGTAACATTGATAGTCTATGTTCCTATGGGCGGTAGCCCAGCAGTAATTTTTCAGCCAGCCTAGAGGCAAACAGATGGCTACGAAGATGAGAAGCTGGACTCTGGACTCGAACTAGGTTTACCTATGCCAGCTTGGCGCTGAGCCCTTCTGCTTGCTTGCGGCTTTGACTTCTCAGGTGTAGTTTCTATTCCAAATGTCATAGTGCAATGCTGGCTGGACCTTGATCCTTCACTTCCCAACCTTGAACCCAGTTAACTGCTACGTATGTGACTAAAGGCTTTAGGAATCCGATAATGTGGCTTCACATTTTTAAAAACTAGTAAAGGTCCCCATTAATGAGAATGCATTGAGTAAAGAAGAATTGTGTCCTGGCTTAAAAATGCAGTTCAGTCTCCTGAACAGTTCTGAACTTCAAGGTCTTAGTGCTTCAGTGGAAGATCTGTCAGAATGAACCTATTAAATAAGCACTTTCTGAAAAATACTGTGTACTTTATCTTCGTTTAATTCATTGTGGAGTACCTTTCTTGTTAAACTCCAACCCAGATTTGTGCAGTGTACTTACAGCATTACTTTTAAAAGTGAAATTAATGCTGCTTTTTTGGAAATTAATGAAGTTATTATATAGGTTTAGTTCTCTCATAGCTCTGAAAAAAGTATATCTATCAGCCTAGAAATAAGCCACTCATCCACAGGGAGTAAAATTAACAGAAATTATAATTTACAATGAATATATAAAGTATATAGAGAAAGACTTTTGGTTAAAATTCTTATCACATGCTGCTGAAGCAAAAAAAAAAACAAAAACAAAAACAAAAACCTCAGCAAAAGGAAAAAAAGGCTGAAATGAGGAGACCTGCTAATTTTTTTCCCTTTAGAATTATTTTATTAAATCATAACTCCTAACTCTACACATGCACTTAACTCTACACATGCACTTAAATTTTTAAAGGAAAACGTTATGTCTTATTACACCATGATCCTGGCTAATAGCTTTTCAAAACTTTGAGAAAAATCTTACAAAAGGTTTCACATGTCACTTGAAACTTACAAATTTAACATTATCAAAGAAGGAATGCTTCTACGCTCTTACCAAGACCACTAGAAAGAAACAATTAAAAAGCTAAGAAACTGTCTCGAAGGCATTTTTTTTTTTTTTACAATCCTTCCTCCACAGTAAAGTAATGTTATTAAATAATCCAGTCCATTCACAAAATGGCTCTCTGCATCTGCTCTGGTGTCTTCTGCATCTGCTCTGGTGTCATATCACTGCATACTTATGCATGACTGAGATAAGAATTTCCTTAACATTGTTATTTCGATAACCTGAAGCTTTTCTGTTATCTCTGGGCTCTCATCCTCTCCTATTGATACAGTGAAGCCCATGGCAAATAGGAAGAAGCTCAATATTGGATTCTCCCTCCATAACCCCCACTTCTTCCACATCCTCCAGGACCATAGTTTCCTCCACCATATGATCCTCCCATGTTCCTGCTACCACCAAAATTTTCACTCTTCATTGGTCCAGTTAGAAGGTTGCTGGTTGTAATTTCCAAAATCATTAAAATTTCCTCCTCCATAGTTGTCATAACTGCCTCTGTTGCCCCCACCCTGGTTGCCATATCCAGGTCCTCCACCACTATATCCTCCTCTTCTTCCTCCATAACCAGGGCTACCTCCATAATTGCCACCTCCAGATCCTCCTCCATACCCATTATAGCCATCCCCAAATCCATGACCGCTTCCATGGCCATCAGATCCTCCTCCAAAGTTACTTCCCCGTCCTGGTCCAAAATTTCCACTGCCACCGTGAGAATCTCCAAAACCGAAGTTGCCTCCTCTTAACACTTCTAGAACTTTGAACTTCCTGCATCTCTTGTCTAAACAAAGCCTTTCTTACTTCTGCATTATGACCATTGATGGTACGTATGGTATTTCTGCAACACAATCTTATCCGCAGGATCATGGTCATCAAAAGTAACAAATCCAAAGCCTCTTTTCTTTCCAGACTGCCTATCAATAATAATCTCAATGGTATCAATTTTTCCATATTCCTCAAAGTAATCTTTAAAATGATGTTCTTCAGTATCTTCTTTAATCCCACCAACAAACAGCTTCTTCACAGTTATGTCGAGCCCCTGGCTTTCCAGATTTCTCTCTTGCAACAGCATGTTTTGGTTCAACCACTGTCCCATCAATCGAATGAGGTCTTGCAGCCATGGCAGCATCGACCTCAGCCACGGATGAAAAAGTTACAAAACCAAATCCTCTCGATCTTTTGCTTGCAGGATCTCTCATTACCACACAGTCTGTAAGTTTCCCTCATTGCTCATAGTAGTTCCTCGAACTTTCTTCTGTAGTTTCGAAGTTCAAGCCACCCCTTGAGTTCACGGAACTGTTCCTTTTCTCTCTCTATCACGGACTCAGTCGCTTCAGTCCGATTTCCCACAGGCGAGCGAGATGAGAAAGATCTCCGCGGTCGAACGCGAACCGGACTCGTCCTGGCCCTGTAGTGAAAACTGCTGCCGCTGGAGAAATAACATGCTAGGAGAACCTCCGCACAGCAAGCCGGCGCTGCTGCTACTCGAGACCGGATCATTTTAACTGAATTTTTATCCTGTCATCAGATTCGATGTTATCAGTATTAATACCATAATATGAATTATTGCATTTAATAATACAGAAGAATTGCAGCAGTAAAATCACACAAGGATGATATGTTCACTTGCCATTCTCAGACAAAAGCAAGATAGTCGTTATTTTGGTTTTGATGAAGAAAATATAAGTAATATGCTTATATATCAATTTTGGACTTGTCTATATTCTAATTAGAATTATTAGATATTCAGACTGTCTGCCTCAACCTCTGCCCGTAGTGGGAAACCATGCCTGTTAAGAACTTGAGAGGAAAAATTCCAGTCTAATACCCATAACTAGGGAGATTTTCTTATAACTAGTTTTAATGTTTATAGTATTCAATCCATCCCCACTCACCTAGTAGGAGAAAGTGTTAGTTTCTACCTCATAAAAGTTGTTGTGAAGTTTAAATGCTGAAGATTATAAATTGGCATTTAATAGATGTTAGCTATCATTATTTCTATTAAGCAGAGGCTTGTTACAAGTCCCTGCCAACAGGCCCTGCTGCTCAGGATTCATTTCAGCTTCCTCGAGATTTCCCTCATTTAGCAATAAATACTTTCCTACCCTTTTCTCTATCTGCTTCTGAAGTTCTATTTTAAGTAGAGGTGTACATACCAGCATGTTCCTCCAGTTTAACAGGTTCTCAGTTTTGTTTTGTTTTGTTTTTGCTTTGAACTTTCTTCCATTTTCCATTTCTATTTCTAATTTTATGTGGAAAATTATCTCTTTCTAGCTCACTGAGAGAGTCTTATTTGAATAGTTTGGAGGCCCAAACAAATAGTTTAAAACCTTCTTTGCTAGTTTAGCCAGCCATATTTCCTTCAATGCAGATGAACGCCAGTCCTCTTTAAAAATATAGGACATGCCTGATTACTAGGCCTCCCTCCTAACAACGGCTTTGACACTTTTTTTTACTGTAATTCATATGGTCTGACATCCCATGTTTTACATAGCAACCTAGGACACACACACACGCAAATACATAACTGAAAACAAAGTTTCATGAAACAAAACTTATTTGTTATGATGCCGGAGAGCTGGATGAGGATGGAAGTCTAAAAGAGGACTCAGCCCGGAGCACCAGTGACCAGGTTCTTGTCTTATGCCATGAGAAAAAATTCAAGGGCAAGACCAGCATCAAGCAGGAAAGCACAAGGTTTATTAAAGTGGAAGTACACATTCAAGAAGGAAGTGCCAACAAACTCAGAGCCCGTGGGCAAGTCACGCCAAAGATGTCTGGGTTATTTGCTTTTGTTTTTCTTGGGGGCAGGGCCCAGAGACATGGTACTGATGTGGCTTCATCTCCTTCCAGTAGCTGGGGAGCTTGGTTTCTCCTTCTTTCTCGTTTGGTGTTTCTGGAACTGTCATGACATTGGGTACATGATGGGAGCCATAGTATTTACAAGGTGATGTTATAATGATATTATGATTTACTAAAGCTGGGAAAAGGACAAAAGAATTCCAGAGGCTTTTTTTGGAGGGGAGGAGACGTCTCAAGGCTACCTATCCTGCCTCAGTTTTATAGTTTGATATATTCTAGTTTCTCTTCTATTTCTTTGTTTTTTTAAAAAATGCTGGTCTACGGCCATGCTACCCTGAACAAGCCCGATCCCATCTGATCTCGGAAGCCAAGCAGGATCGGGCCTGGTTGGTACTCGGATGGGAGACCACCTAGGAAGACCAGGTGCTGTAGATGTAAAATAATAAAAATAAAAAACTAAGAGATTGTAAGCTGACAAGGTCCTTGCAATCTGTGAGGTCAACCAAGGGTTGCCTCACCTAAAAATAAACAAACAAACAAATAAATAAATAAATAATGCTAGTCAGAAGCCACAAATTTGATTTTATGACATTAACTGAAAAAAAAAAAAACTGTCACAAAAGACCTCCTATAGTCACAGAAACTAAAGAATTTTGGTCAGCACTCATGAACTGTTATCTTAACTCCAGACTCCATTTCTCCAAACCTGACAATATTAAGGGGAGAAAATAATTTCTTAATCTCTGTGACCTCGACATTGCTACCAGGCTGTGGTCGCTTTTGCTTGGCTTGAATCTAGTAAAGCTACATAATTACAGCCGTTTTCATTTTTCCTTTTTTCTTGTGTTTGATTTTGGCAAAATTAACAACATAAGAAATAAAAGAGTAGGGGCTGAGTGAAATGGGAAAAGCCAGCCTCGTTTCCTTAGTGGCACTGATTAAGCTCATTTTGGCTAATTTTGTAGCCATCATTTACCCAGAAAGAAATATGTGTCTTTTGAACTTTTCAGTATTATGGATGGTTCAGAATCTGTTTTTCATTAACATAGTTGGCTTCTAATTAGCCAGTCGAAGGCAAAAGGTTTGGTTTAATTTTATCTAGGTTAAATGATGAAAAGTAGGTGAAAGGGCAATTGTCTCCTTTATTCCATGAATTTTAACTTATAGTTGCTGGTCTGAACAACCTCGCTTTTATAAAAGTTTGTTGTTGTTTTTCATTTCATATTAATATGTTTTTTCACTCTATATGCTAAAGAACAGACATTTTACCCAGCATACTCAGAATTCCAAGGCAAAACTGATTAGACTGGTTCTATCATTTTTTCTATAAGCAGTTCCTTACCACTTTTCCTAGGTGTTCCTTCTTCACTATCCCTTGGCATTTAACGATCCCCTGCTTCTTGGCAAATTCTCCTCTCAGCCTTTTTGACTGGGCTACATTGGTGCTGAATCACTCTGCTGAGCCTCTCCTACTTCTTAAATGAAGGCGTATTCAGAAGATCTACTCTCAGCTCTCTTTTCTTTTCCTTTGGCAGACTCATTTAATCTTGGCTTTAACTATCTTCTCTATCAATGGCTCCCTCATCTGCTGAAACTTGGCAAAATCTACTAAATGCCCTGCCTTTCCCAGACCTGGACTTTACCCCTAAATTAATTAGGATTAGGTTTGGCTGTCAATGACAGAAAACTCAAAATCATAGTGGATTAAACAAGAAAAAGTTGATTTCTCTCATAGCAGTGTCCTAAATGGTGTGGCTGCTCCACGATCATCAGGGACCCCAATTCCATCTATCTTCTGCTCTGCCATCCTCAATACATGGTTCTACCTCTTGGCCCATGGAGGCTGCTCCCAATCTAACCATCACATCTGCATTCCGTCCAGGAGGAAAGAAAAAGAAAAAAGCATACCCAGTCCTTTAAGGACTCTTCTCGAAAGTTGCGTATTCCAAATCTGCTTATATCCCATTGGCCAGAACTTAAGGTCTTGGGCTGACCTTACTGCAAAGCAGGCTGGGAAATACATGTAGTCTTTATTTTGAGCAGCTACGTATCCAAGAAAAAACCAGATGTTTAATACTGTGAAGAAGGTAGGAAGGAAGAATATTTGAGGTAACTTGGAGCCCCTGCCACATCTCTGTTTCTTTTAGAATATTTCAGTTTTCTTATAGTTTGCCAATATGACAAATTGAAAGTAATTTTCCCCCCTCTGAACGTCTACATCACTTTCTTTGTGTCTATAAAGCATTCATCTTAGTGTGATATTTTGTTAGACATATTTTGTTCTCCCTAGGATGTTACAAACTCCTTTCACTGTACCTAGAAAATATATAATGATATTTAAAAATTAATCAGTGCCAATTTTAAGTGTTCAAAGTTACAGCAGAGTGCAGGAAAATACTACCTTTAAAAAAGTTTATTTATTTATTTAAGTAGCTCAGTGCTTAATTCACAGTAGATACATATTTATTGATCAAATTAGTGAAAGCTTAATAATAAGTATCTAGGGTTTGGACCCATTGTGTATGTGTTTAAATTTTTATTTTTAGAAAAGGAAAAATCTCTGAGATGGTAGAAATTTAATTCTGACTAATTTTAGTATAATTTTTTTTCTTTTAGTGTGGCTGTACTCGAAGGAATAAAAAAGGGACTGCAGAAAGCTTTAACCAACCCTGCAGTAAAAGCCATTGTGATTGGTGGAGCAGATGGCAAATTCTCTGCAGGTAACTGGTGTCTAACCTTCTCCCATTATCTCTGGAATCCAGCCACAGACTGAGATTAGTATTGCGTTAGCTGTACCTCCGAGTAATATGTTAGTATTGATAATGGATATGGGACACTTGAGTGGGAATGAGAAATATTGTGGAGAAAGAGACAGAAGTCAAATAGAGACCCAGAGAAGAGTTTGACTATACTCCCTTTTATATTGGATTGGGCCTTTGGAAGACATTTAGTTGCAGATTTGATGGCTCTTATACCTGCTCTATGTATTATCTCTACCCTATGTGAACTTGAGCAAGTTCCTTTGATCTGAACTTCAATTTCTCTATTTATAAAATAGACACAGTAATGGCTATCTTAATGGGTTTTTGTGACATTAAATGAGATAACATATCCGAAAGCCTCTAGTACAGAGCCTGAATGCAGAAGATGTCCAATAAGTGTTATTTTTTCATTTCACGTAGTCTTGAAATAGAGTTTATTTTTCTTCTGGTTATCATCTATCTCAGTGACCATGTTACTCTTTATTGGGTTATTCTGTGAAGATGCAAAGATATTGTCAAAATATGGCGAAAGTGTCCAAAATGGTGATTTGGTGGTATTTGTGACACCATTCGTCTTTTCCCAAATGAATATATTATACTCTTTGACAAAGTCACATGGCTATGAGGGCCTATGAAATCTCACTGTCACCAGAAGAATATAATGTATGTTAATTATAGCCTGAGAAAAAATAGATACTGGAATCATCTGATAATCAGTATAATAATTATCTTTTATGTTGCCTGCTATGTACCAGTCCTGTGTAGGTTATTTATTTATTAATAATGAAAATAGTAGTATTTTTATACTTATTATATTTTAGTCCTTAGTAACTTCTATAATCTTTATTTCCAGATGAGAGATTGAGCCTGAGAAAGGTTAAAATAGTATGCCAAACATTAACCAGCTATTAAATCGCTTACTCAACTGTTTGAAAACTTAAGTTTGGAAGCCCAAGATGGTGATTTTGAGGCGTGAAGAGAGGGATCAGAATTATGGAAAACTTGATATTTCTTTGTCAGTAAGGAGATAGAAGAGGGAATATAGTTAGAGTTCAGGGCAGAAAGAAATTATTCTCTTAGAAAAGCATTAAGAATTATGAGATTTGACTTAGCAGATTTACATAAAACAATGTACCCAACAATTGCAAAATATACATTCCTCTCAAATCTGCAACATTTACAAAAATTGACCAGATATTGGACCATGAAAGCTTATCTCAATAAATTTTATTTATAATATGTTCTCTGATAACCATGCAATTAAATTAGCAATCGATAACAAAAATATAACTGGAAATTCTCATATGTTTAGAAATGAAATTGCTATCTTAATAACCTTTGAGTCAAGGCAGAAGTCATAATAGAATTTAGAAAATATTTTGAACTGAACAATAATGAAAACACAACCTATATAACTTCATGAATGCAGATAAAGCAAAACTTAGCAAAAAACGTATAGCCTTATATATCAGGAAAGAAAAAAGACTGAAACATAATGAACTGAAATCTGTATCAAGAAACTAACAAAACAGTAATATAGATCCAAATGAAGTAAAAGGAAGAAATAATAAAGAGAAATTAATGAGATATGAAACAAATGTGAATCGAAAATATCAACAATGTCAAAAGTTAGTTCTTTGAAAGACTAATAAAACTGACAAAGCTCTGGAGAGATTGATCAAGAAAAAAAGAGACAGCAAAACAATGTATATAAGTGCTGGAGTGATGTCAGAAGCATGGATCTCTTCCCTTGAAATAACAATAAGGGAGGAACATCTAAAACTCAACAAATAACACCCAACCTGCACACAGGCATGTCTGAGTGATCTGTGCATAAGAGCTTCCAGAGTTCGGAATCATGGTAGTCTTGAAGTAGTAGATTGGGAGAAAAAAAAAGCTGCCAGATGCAGCAGCCGGAGCTCCCTGCAAGATGAGGAGGAAGGAAGAAATTGCTGCCAGTTTCCAGAACAGCCCTGCCTGAGGGTTCAGCGAGTTCCACGGAGCAGAGGCCAGGGATCAGTGCAGAAAGCAGAATGGGAACTAAGTGTGAAGGGGCAACAGCTGTGTCTTAGCAGCCATGATCGCAAAGTAGGAGGCTGAGACATAGAGACTAGCAGCAACCCCCATCCACCAATCCAGAGTGCACCTTCCCTCCACCCCATATCCTCCCAGATCTAGCATCGAGGATCCCCAGGGGAATTTGAGCAAAAGGTACCAAAACAAAAACCCACTATCAGTACCACTGACAAGGGCTGGGACCGAGGGTAGCGACTATGACTTGAATATTTAATTTATTAGAGAGAAAAAAGGCATTATTAGACTTAAAACAGAGATCTAAGAGGCTTGGACACCACCTACTGGAAACCAAAAGAAAAACACCTTATCAATAGACTAAAGAAAGACCTTTATGTAATAAAATTTCTTTCTGAGAAAACAAAGCAGAATAAACTCCCATTAATGTCCAGGCAGAGAAATTGTCCATCAAATACCATGAACAACCAGGGTGACAATGCAGCTTAAAAAGAAAGAGAAAAATCTCCAGAAAATATGCTTAAAGACATAGAAATATGCAATTTAAATGACAGAAAATTCAGGATTGCACTTCTGAAAAAATTCAATGAGATGCAAAATAATTCAGACCAACAATTAGAAGGAATTAGAAAAAATTAGACCAGCAAAATGAGTTTTTTAGCAAGGAGATTGAAACCCTAAAAAAGAACTATATAGAACTTCTGGAGATGAATAACACACTAAAAGAGATGAAGAGTGAAATAGCAAGCTTAGGATATAGAGCTGACTAGATGGAGGAAAGAATCAATGATACTGAAGACAGAAATCTTGAAATTCAGAAGGAAGAAGAGAAAGACCAAAGAATGAAAAATAATGAAAGAGAAATACAAGAACTAGCTGATACCATCAGGAAAGGCGACAAAGGAATAATGGGTATACCAGAAGGAGAATACAAGGAGAAGGGATCAGAGAGCATGTTCAGACAAATAGTTGACGAGAACTTCTCAAATCTAAGGAATGAGCTGGAGCTTCAAATCCAGGAAGCTAACAGAATACCCACTTATCTCAACCAAAAAGGCCTTCTCTGAGACCCATTATATTAGAATTATAAAAAAATTAATGACAAAGAAAGAATTCTTAAGGCAGCCTGGGAAAAGAAGACAGTAGCCTATTAAGGAAACCCATCGGTCTATCTTCAGATTTCTTAGCACAAACCTTACATACAAAAAGAGAGTGGAACCAAATATTCAAACTATTAAATGAAAGGAGTTACCAGCCAAGAATAATGTATCCAGCAAAGCTCTCCTTGAGATATGAAAAAGAAATAAAGACTTTTACAGACATACAAAAGTTGAGGGAATTCTCCACTATGAGGCCTGAATTACAGGATATACTGAAAGGGGTCAGCCCACCTGAAACAATATGACAGAAAGAAACAAACAAACAAACATGAGTATGAGTAAGATGACTAGCAGGGAGACAGAAGCAGAATAGTGCAACTCTTATTAAGAATAGGTTATTATAAACTTAATAAGAAGAGAATTGCTATGGTGAGATAGAAATGAATGTTCAGAATACATAGGGACAATTTGAGACAACAGTACCAGAAAAGGGGAAGAATCAAAGATCCACATTCTCAAAGGGAAATGGAGATAAGGCACACACAGAAAAAAAATGGACTACTGTATACATATAACTATCCTTTACATATTCTTAACGGTAACTACACACCAAAGATCCAGAACCGAAGTACATAACATAAAACAAGAACCATAGGGAAAATCCACAAAACTCAACCAAATTAAAATAACAGAGATAAATGCAAGGGCAAGGAAACAATGGAAAAACCAAGCTACCACAAAACAAAAGATAAAATGGCTCTAAGAAAACCTTATATTTCAATAATCACCCTACATATAAATGGACTGAAATCACCAATAAAAAGGTACAGAGTTGCAGATTGGATCAAAAAACCAAAACCCAACCATGAGATACATCTCAGTTCTAAAGACAAATATAGACTCAGAGTGAAAGGGTGGAAAATGATATTTCAAGCAAATGGCACTCAGAAAAAAGTGGGAGTAGCGGCACTAATACTGGATGAAATAGACTTCAAAATAAAAAAGGTAAAGACACTGAGGGACACTTCATAATGATAAAGGGAATCATACATTAAGAAAATATAACACTTATTAATATCTATGCTCCCAATCAAGGAGTCTTGAAATATATAAAGCAATTATGAACAGAACTAAAGGGAGAAACTGACCAAACCACTATCATAGTAAGAGACCTAAATACCCCACTGTTGGAAATGGACAGATCATCCAAACAGAAAATTAATAAGAAAATAACATCCTTAAATGACAAATTAGACCAATTGGACATAATCAACATTTACAGAGTCTTCATCCCCAAACAACTGCTTATACATTCTTCTCTAGTGCAAATGGAACATTCTCAAGGAAATGCTGGGACACAAAACTGACCTCAAGTATAAGAGGATTGAAATCATACCAATCATATTCTCTGATCATAATGCTTTGAAGCTGGAGATCAACTGTAAAAAGAAAGTGGGAAAACCCACAAATACATGGACATTAAACAACATGCTGGTGAAGAATGACTAGGTCAGAAGAAATAAAAAGAGACATCAAGAGATACATAGAAACAAATAACAATGATAGTAAAACATATCAAAAGTTTGGGACATGTCAAAAGCACTAATGAGAGGAAAGTTCATATAGTTACGGGCCTGTCTCGAAACACAAAAATGAGCCCAAATAAACAACCTGATACTTCATCTTAAAAAACTAGAAAAAAAAGAACAAATGAAGTCTCAATTCAGCAGAAGGAAAGAAACAACCAAAATTAGAGCGGAATTAAATGAAATTGAAAACAAAAAGACAATAGAAAAAATAAATGCAACAAAGAGCTGGTTCTTTGAG